TCTAAAGATATTTCTTATAAACCAAATAAATATTGTTTATTTGGCCCACTGTTATGTAACCTGGCTTGATCCCAAGATCCTGGGGTCATGACCTGAGCCAAAGGCAGATGCTTAACCAATTGAGCCACCCAGGCGCCCCAAAGCAAACAACTCTTAATCTTGGAGTTGTAAACTTGAGCCCCACGTTGGGTGTAGAGATTACTTAAAAAAAAAAAAAAAAAGACTATCCAAGATGTACAGCAGTCTTATGGTCAGCAAAAACAGTCTTCAAAATGACCACAGAAGAAGCATTGTAACTTCCCACAAGGTATTCTGCAATCATTCATAATTTGCTTGCTATCTCATTACAACGCTTTTGTTTCATTTCATCAGAGACCTCAGTCCCAAAGGGAAAGAGAGAGAGAAACAGATAATCGACTATACATCATGCTCCATTGCAGAAGTATAAACAAGTATGTGGAAAATCCAAAAGATAGTAGTAGTCCTGTACCTGGAGGACTCAGGAGAAAGAGAGCCATGTTTGTCTATTTGTTCACTGTTGTTAGTGTGTAGTCTTAAAAGGGAAAAACAAATCATGACAATGGGGAGAATGAAGATGCAAGAGAAAAGTGGGGGAAACAGAGGCGAAAAAAAATCTCCATTCTTCCCCTCCCTCAAGAATTAGGGAGAAAGAAATAAAGGGAAATTTTGAGGTTGAGGGAGGGAAGTTGAGGGAATTCTTCCTGGTATAAACGTTCTCAGTAAAGCAGGTATACGTTTGCTGAAGTGACAAGGGCTGAATTTGGAATCATGGAGAGAAGAAAAGGTCTGGAGTAGCCTGTAGGAAACTGAAATCCACTGGGCGTGGATGAGAGTACGGATCAGTGGTCATGGGCAGCCATACAAGAGAAGAGAGCTGGAACAGAGCCCGTCCACATGGTGAGGTGGTTTTTTCCCTTCTGTGTTGTGGAGACTAAGAACCGAGGAGAGAATGTTGGTCGTGGCCTGAACTGTGAATTGGCAAGGCAGGAAACATGGCAGGAGGTCCAGGGACCAAGAGCCTCTAATGAGCAGTCGGCTACGTGCAGGGCTGTGGGTAGGCAGAGTTGAGTTGAATGATCAACTGGAAGGTCCACATGGGATGCAGGTTAGGGAAGGCACAAACAAACCCCACTTTCCCTCCCTTACCTGGATGGCTGCCTGGTAAGGTACCTGGACCCCTGCCTTACCCCTCGCCTGTCTGGGTCCCCAGATTGCCTTTACTTCAGACCGTCTCTGATTAGGGCAACACATGTGACTTCTCTTTCAGCTCACAAATAAGACTGTGTAGAATAAGGAGATACAGAGCTTTTATTTTGTTCTACTCTATGGTCTTTTATCCTTTTTCTGATTTAGCTTCTTTATATATTTTCACTTTCACATGTCACTAAGTTTAAACGTTTAAACATTTCCCCCTTCGGTAGCCAAAAAGAAAACAGAGCAACAGCTAATACAGTAATAAATTTATTTCTAGCTACAGGAGATAAGCTTCAATGCAATATGGCCATAAAGTATGGCTTCTAGGCTTAGGGGAGAAGCAATGAACCTTCATAAATAAAATAATTTTAAAATACTCCAGGCAGTATAAATAAGAGTAAAATATAACTTGTAACTGGCAACACACAGCCAACAACAGAGCTACTTACAAAAGAAAGCTATAAACTAAGAAAAGTTTTGCAGCTTTGTTGTTGTTGTTACCTTGCACTCTAGGTGGGCGGGCTGGAGAATTCACCAGCGTGGGGGGGGGGGGGGGCATTTTTGACCTCCCTTCGGAAATGTTACCTCTGTTACATTTCCTGACACCTTCTGATTTGCTGAAGACCTGTGATAATCACCAAGGAAACCCGGGGGAACTGATGCTACAAATAAGAGCTCTCAACCAATTTCAAGGTGTCAGAGAACACCTTCAAAAGGAGAGAGAGTGGGGCGCACAGAACCATGTCCCAAGGGTGCACTTAATGCCGGAGCTTGCCCAGCTCAGGGGTCCCTTGACTTTCAGTCTTGTTCTGCCGCTGATCTTGAAAGAGGGGTGAAGTTCTCCTGAGGTCCATCTCAGCTTTCATTTGGGTTTTCAGCTCAGGAGTCGTGTGGGCAAAAGCATAAAAAATACAATGGCATTTCAGTGAGGAGTGCCTTGGTTTGAAAGACTGTTGAGTCATGGATTATTCTCTAAAAAAATTAAGGAGCAAGCAAGAGAAGATCTCCCTCTTTCCTTCCTTCCTTCCTTCTCTCTCTCTCTCTCTCTCTCTCTCTCTCACACACACACACACACAGTCACTCACTCACTCATATCAGAAGTAAGAACAGACAGGGAATCGGAGAGCCACCAGGAGGGTGAACTCAGAATTGATCTGTGCTCTCATTCGATACGTTGATAATTCCCAAGCATTTGTCATCTCAGGCACTGTGTTTGTTGCTGAAAAATGGGGGAACGTGTTCTCTCCCTTGGAGGAACTGAAGGCCTTTCTGGCCTAGAGTGAGTTATGCTTGGCCACATGTAGTGAGTCTGGGAGGGCTTGGCAGGTAAGCTTGGTTTAGAAGGTGATAGACTAACTCTGCAGGGAAGGGGATTCCAGAGAGGGCAGAAAGAGGTCAAGATTGTGAAGGGAAATATGAATGAGAATTAGCTGGGCCTTGGGACGCCTGGGTGGCTCACTCAGTTAAGCGTCTGCCTTCGGCTCAGGTCATGATCCCAGGGTCCTGGGATCGAGTCCCACATCGGGCTCCTTGCTCAGTGAGGAGCCTGCTTCTCCCTCTCCCTCTACTGCTCCCCCTGCTCGTGCTCGCTCTCTCTCTGACAAGTAAATAAATTATTTAAAATAAAAATAAAATAAATATATTAAAAAGAATTAGTTGGGCCTCGATTGTGGAGAGCTTTAATTGCCGTTCTAAAGAGTTGGGGCTTTCTTGTGTAAATGGTAGGAAGCCATAGACAAATTTTAGAGCAAGAAGAGCCATGGTTTGTGTTCTAAATTTGTTTTATAAAGAGAAATCTCTGTTGGCGGTAAAGACGAGATGAGAGACAGATGATGAGTGCTCTAGGGAAACAGCAGAGGGACTGGTGTGGGCATTCCATTTATAATTTGCTGTGCCTGGTACTTTTCCTGGATTATGTAGAGAAAGACAAGCTAGCACAGAAATTTAATTCTGAGTTTGATTTCACCACATAGTGGCCAAGTGTTCGTGGGCAAGGAACTTCAGTCTGTCTCCTGTTTCTCATCGGCGGAATGGGGCTCACAGTGATGCCTCCCGCATAGGGTTGTAACATGTGTTAACTGAAATGCACTGTATGCGTAGCCCTTAGAGCCATGCCTAGTACATGGTACAGGCTAAATATTTTATGTTACCTTTTTTTTTATCAGTTCATTCATTTACTTGTTTATTCATTTCATCTTTGCAAATTTGCTTTTAGGACAATCTAGAGTATTCTACTGTAAATTGTCATTAGTAGATTTCATTTGCAGAATTTTTCTAACATTTTCCCCTTCTTTTCTTAAGTGTTCTTGGGCCAAAATTTTTTAGCAGGAAATAGGAGGGTGAGGCCTATGAATTCAAACAGCTCTTTCCTCCCAGTGTAAAGTGTAAACAGAAAATTTTGCAAAGAACGCTGCTATATGGTGGTCCTCAGTGTCACTGTGGGTAATGGGGGCCAGGGGAGACATTAAGTGACGTTCCAGTATTAGGAAATTTGGGCAGGCTGACTTTATGGTACAACATGGTTCTATTATTCTGATAAACAGATTCTGAAATTCCAGAACACAGTGTGAACCATATTTGAATATGAATGCTGAAACACCTTCAAAAATCTCCAATAAAAATTTTAATTACCTCTGCCTTTGCTTCCCTCTTCGTGAATGCAACTGAAGTTAACACTCTTAAATTGGAATAATAATTATATCTCCCATGTTTATAATAAAAATTATTACGTAAGTATTTTTATTATAGGTATATTTTATTATATAAATATATATACATACGTGTGTGTGTGTGTATATATATATATATGTTTGTATCTATTACATAAATAACCGCAGATTCGGATATTAGCATTCAGAACAAAACTCCAGTAGGAGAGGAATCATTCCTTATGTTTCCCTGTGCAGAGCCAGTGTTCTGTCTCTCCAGTGTTTGGGCTTTTGTAAAACAGAAAGCTGGTCCCATTAGGTTATAGGAAGAGTCTACAGGATCTGGGGAGAAAACCTAAATATCTTGCAACTTTTTGCCTTTGAATAACTGGGAAAGCAGTTCTTGAGAGAGGGAGATAAATATAACCCCTCTGTGTAGTTGAGGTGAACAAAGGTCTCCTTGATACTGAATGTTTTTATTTTGCCTGAAAGTGAACTCTTCATTGATGGAAGGGGTTCTTCTATTTGATCCATCAAGATTACCAAGCCAGGTGTCCCCATCCCCAACTGAAGTACAGCATCATGAAATTATGATTGAAGTTTATAAAAACCAATTCATGAAGTGGCAAGAGATTACAGATACTGCATTTCCCTCTCTTGGTTACTGGGCATTAAGTTGCACTAGCATTGAGGAATTCTGAAAAAACACCCATAAGTTATTTAAATGATATTCTTCAACTTCTCCCCTGGATGCATGGCTAAGCAGTTTTGACTAGTTCATCAATTAGGACAATGTTATTGTTTTATAATAAGGTAATTTACTGAAAATATTTTTGCAGGATTGTGATTGTGTGGTTAGAATAATGAGCAAAGCTCGCAGAGGAATCAGTGATTTGTAATCCCAACCCTGGTTGGCACAGGTGTGTGATTTTAATAGAGTAATTTACTTTTTCTGATAACATTTGTCCAATCTCCTTTGAGGGGCTTTTGTGAGAATAAAATGAGTAGAGTTATGTGAAAGCAATTTAAAGCATGAAAGCACTAAGAACAACTAAATGTAGTTGCTGAACATCCTTAAGACATCTTAGTAGAACAAATGGAAGTAAATGTTGCAGGTGTTTTTGTTTGATTTTACAGGCAACGAGGGAAACTCTTAGTCGCCACTGCACTACCCTTGGTGATGCTCTTCGAAAAGAGAATGATTTTGCTCTTATAATTGATGGGAAAACCCTCAAGTATGCCTTAACTTTCGGAGTAAGACAGTATTTCCTGGACTTAGCTTTGTCATGCAAAGCTGTAATTTGCTGCAGGTAAGCTCTCCTTAATGTTGTCAGATTTCACTAAACAGCACCTCAATCCTCAGTTCTTGATTTGTAAACTTCCTTGAAGTTATTCTATCCAGAGTTTGTCACTGTCAGGTTATTATTTCACTCACTCAAGACTCAAGGTTCACAACATGGAATAGAATTTAGTAGCAGAATTTTTTTTTAGGTGAGTCCTACTGATCATGAGTAATTATTGTTCATAATTTGAATCAGCAGGTTTGTTGCCATCTCCTGTGTTCCAGTTGGGTTATTTCCCTCATTTCCATCTAGGGCTTTTTCTGTAACAGTTCTGTTTTCTGCACATCAGTCTTGGCTCCTGCTTGGAGGACTTAACTTTAGGGAATGGCATGGCGGGAGGTGCTGAGTCATTTTCCTGAAAACTGTTTCTTGACTGTACATTCCTCTTTCCTGTAATTTATAATATTGCCCCATTTCCTAAATTAGAATCTGTTTTAAGTTATCCAGGCTTACTCCATAGAACTACATTTTTATAAACTATTTAGCTCTAGTCCTCCCTGAACTTCTCGTCAAAGAATCTTTGTCGAAATTGTTCACACAGATCTTCCTAAAATTTCAAGTGTTTTCATGACTCTGCCCACTGTCTTCACTGTGAAACCTAAGGATTTTCTTCTTTGCCGTCAGCTTACTGAGAGTCTTACCAGCTGGTCACGCTAGGTCTGTGGTGGTAACGTCTCCAGCTGCTTTCTCCCTCCCCAGGGAGATGAAATCTTAGCAGGGCTTCTGAAGAATTTCCCAGAATTTATTCTTTCAACATTGTTGTTAAAATTTTTTTATTTGCTTTTATTATTATCTTAAAAAATATATTTACTACTAAAAGAATATTTGCTTTTTGGACTTATTCATGGGCTGATTCACTTAATTCACTTATTCACTTAAATACCCTGTATATAATTTGTCTCCACGTTTATAAGCCGTGCCTTGTAGATATTTCCTAAATTTCCTTTGGAACATACTGTGTGAAATATAATTTAAACCAAACTTAATAATTACCTTTTATAAAGCATCATTTCAACCTATAAAATTGTATCATACTCAGAATTAAAAGTTGCTTATTCCAGGAACCGTATTATTTTAGTCATTCATTTTTCTTCACTGTAGGCTGTGTTAATAAACGTTACCATAGAGCTCTTGGAGAGCCTATTCTACACACATTTTTTTTTTAAAGATTTTATTTATTTTACAGAGGGAACACAAGCAGAGGGAGCTGCAGAGGGAGAGGGAGAAGCAGGCTCCCCGTTGAGCAGGGAGCCCGATGCAGGACTCGATCCCAGGACCCTGGGATCATGACCTGAGCCAAAGGCAGATGCTTAACCGACTGAGCCACCCAGGTGCCCCTGTACGACATATTTAATATCAGTAGTAATCAGGCTCTCTGCTTAATCATGAAGAAAGAATTGGAAATTATCTTGATGATCTCATTTGCACTTTGATATCATCAATATGCTTTTTTAAAATCTGCTTTTCCAGGGACTTTTCTTGATTCCTTGCTAATCTCTTGACCAAGTCTTAGGAACGTTCAACTCTGACACACTTCCATTAGGATAATTGTGTGCCAGATCTGGTTGTTTAGTCACTTTCACTAATGGGATCACAAAGATCAACAAAAGCTTGCTCAGAAGCACAGTAAGTGCTGTGAGGGTTGGCTCCTGTTTGAAGACCAAATGGAATCCAGAACCATTTAGATACAGTGATGTGTTCCCTGAGGCAGCACCTGTGCGGGACCAGTTACTGCGTGCTGGGCGGAGATGCTGCACATACAAGGCTGAACGTGACTTCCTGCCTTCTGTCCATCATGTCTCTTTTTCTTTTTTTCCTTTTAAGTAGAATCACAGTTACTTTGAAAGATGTGGGAGGCCGATTTTCATAATGCAGTAAGTGCAGCTGAGCCTCATTCTTAGAGCATTGCCTAACACAGTACCTCCCACCATTCTTCAAAAAGTTGAACCACAAAATTAAACAATAGCAGAGGGAGAGAAGAAGTAGAAAGCGATGTCAAGGGAGAAAAAATATGTTGTGCGCTTGTGAAATTCCCTCCCGAGATCCTTGTTCTGTACGCTCACGAGTCACAATGGACCTCGGGGCTCCTCCAGGCCCGGGCCCCTGGGACGGAGTCACACTCTACCACGCATGTGCAGCCCAGCTCGGAAACTGAGCTTATAAAGATGTGTGTGGCCCCTTCCTCCCTCCGTCCGGTTTTATGTGTGTTCGAGGACCCGAAGGTCCCTATGCAGACACTGGGCTTTATTTAGAGATTTTAGGGTTTGGTGGTGGTGGTGGTGGTGGTGTTTTTTAAGTAAAATATCTTTCCTCAGCTTTTTCCCTCTAATTACCTTCATACTCTCTCTTTTCCCATAAGGACTGTGGTTCAGCTTCCGGGCTGGTGTTGAGAATTCCTCTAAGCCCATAATTACATCAGTACCACTGCCGGGTTTATGTCTGCGCACCTCCTTGGCCCAGCGCCTCTTGGCATTTAAACTCCTGGCACAGACCATTTTCTTGTCATTTAGCTTACTGACCTTGAAGTATAATTTCCATGATAATGCTGCTGTCACTGGTGAGGAATAGGTGGGCAATTCTGTGTATCTTTCTTTACCATTAAATGCAGTTGTTGCTCCAGGCTCCTCAGAGGATTACAATCTTCCCAGCCCCAGGGAATTCTCTATTTTATACTCCAGTAGAACAGACACTCCAGATAAATACTGAATATTACTTCAAAATATGGTGCTGTTTCATACCTTTGTTTGTGTTCAGCCTGGCTTTCTGGGTATGCCCTTCAAACCACTTTCCGATCTTTTGTCCATCCTCACACAAACATGATTCCGAGTCTGCTCTCTGCTGCAGCCTTCCCTCTGCCACAGCAGAGTGGGAGCCAGAGGGGCAGGCCTTCCCGTCACGGGTAACGAGGCTCTCCATGTTAGTTCCATCTTCAGGATCACGTCAGCCACTTTGGTCCCAGACATGATCAGCATAAAGGGCGGAAGGCAGTTTTCAGTGTTTGCCTAATTGACACCGTCAGAGATGAGCCTTTTCCCTCCAGAGCCCACAGCTGAATTGAAAGAAACAGTTGTTCTCTCTGTAGTCACTACATCTCTTCCCACCGCTTTCTGAAGGGACTATTCAGACACAGAAATAATCCCCTCGTTCCAAAATTATTCAGGGCTTTGGAGTCCTGGTTTTGGTTTACAAAAGGAAAGTTTCATGTTATACCTCAAGTAATTTTTTTTTAAGGAGGTAAAACCCAACAAGTAAGATGAAATCTGGCTTTATCAGCCCAGCAAGTACTGTATTTTTATAGATACCATGCAGCTTTTGTTTTTTTACTTCTGTGCCCGCTTACTGCACAGCCTAAGTAGTTTAATAGGAAATATGCATCTAATGTCAGAGGAGTTTCTGATAAGTTTTCCTGGTTATAAACATAATCTCCTTGTGGCCCTTCTTCCCTTCTTTTCCCTTGCTCAAGTATACCAGTTGTTATCATTGGTGTGATCAGATACTTTTGAAGAGCATGAAAGCTGTGGATCATTCCCCCCTCCAAAAAAAAAAAAAAATACACATACATACCAATAGGTAAAACTGAATGCACCATTTTAGGGGTTTCACAGACCCCCTGAAACTCTTGGACAGGTAGGAGAGGGAAAAGCTTGCTCCAAGACTTGTGGAGATTTATGGGCACAGCTTAAATCAAGAACTGTTCTACCAAATGGCACTTTATCTGAGGATTCATGAAATTCTTGTTCAAATTTTTACCTCTCTGGCACTTTGGATACTGAATGGAATTTCTCTAGCTTTGGTTTTCATGGCCTATAAAATGAAGAGCTTGGCATACAGCAATGATTCAAATCCTCCACGGAGCCTGGATGTCTAAGCGGCTAAGAGTAGGGCTTCTCTGCCGTGGAAAGGTGGGAGACGCATGCACACACGCACCCTTCCTTGGTAATTTCCTTCCAGCTTGAAAGCTTCTGGGCCAGAGGACCCCCTCCTAGGCCTTTCACTTTCTGGACAAACCCTACTTCTGTGGGCCACTCTCTGCTGGGAAGGGTCTGTCTGCTGCTTGGATCAGGTTAATTTGGGGAAGCATCTGTTCTACCTCTTTTTATATTCCCTCCAGAAGAGGATGGGAGTGTTGCAGTGGAATGTTGCTGTGTGTTAAATAGCATGTGGTTTCTGAGATCCTCATCAGTTCACATAACCCAGCCTTTCAAAGAATTTTACATTTTTTCTCTAGTTGTCAGTTTCGTTTAAACATATTTTGAAACTTATGTTCTGTGACAGTTGGTTGAAAATTGGCCTAGAGCCTCCAGCTTTTAGACTGTCTAGTAATCACCGTTCTCCTACATAATTTATGTACTCATGTCTTCTGAAAAGCAGAAGTTAAATTGAAGTGAGCATTTTTCCCTACTTGCAACATCTCTAATCAAAGTTTAACCCCCTTTAAGGCCATTTTCCCCATAGAGCATAAAAAAACACTTGACTTCGTTGAGTGTCGTCACTCGGGAGTAGGATTCCAGGCAAAACCTTTCACCTCAGTCTGATCAACGGGTCCTCCTCAAAGAGGTCTAAGGGGACACTTCGAATACTTTCTGTCATAGCATGAGTGCATTAAGTAAAGGGCCAAGACAGCTCTACTTCTCGAATCTTTTGGGATTGTCTTAAACTTTAAGGATTTCTCTAAATAAATGTTCTACTTAAAGGGTAGTTATAAAGCACAAATGAAGCTAATAAATGCTCCACAGACATTCCTTTAAAGAAAAATGTTTGTGAACACCGTCGGATGCCAAGCAGATGTTTGGCTTTGAGAAGACTTACAAACTGTTAATGAATATCAACCCCATATTTGCTTCCAAGAAAACATGAATAAATGTTGGAAATGTTGAGAGAATATTTCTTTCATACGTGTATGGCTAAAAGAGGACATCCTGAATAAATTTTATAACTTAATAAAATGGCCATATTTTGCTTTCACT